TTGTATTGAATATTTTGATGTTGAATGCATGATGAGTAGCTAAATCCATTAGCTAGGGTTAGGGGAAGATCGTTCCAGTTCGATTTCATTTATATGTATGATAATTGCTCAATCCTCTCGAGTTGTGTTTAGCCTAGTGTTTTGATGTTTGATCACCATCTTAATCTAATTAATCGATTTTAAAACTGAAAAGGGAGAAATCGTTCGATCTAGGCTCGTTAGGAATAAGCTTGTTCGTAATAGTATTGCTTATGTGTTGATTGTTTCAAGAATTACTCGTTTATGTCTATCCTCTTGTTACGAAGAGTTATTGAGGATAGATCTCTAGATGAGTAGTTTTGTGAGGCATTTAACCGAGCTTTTGATTGCTCGTTAAGTGTATTGAGAACCAGAATTGATTGACCCCGATACCCTAGCTCCTTTATAAATATTTGAGTTTGAGTATTGAGTTGCGAACTTGTGATTCCTAGTTTTTGTCTAGCCTTTTTAATTGCTTGCTTTTCAATTAGTAGTCGATAAACAAACCATCACCTTGAATTAGATTGTTTAGGTCTTCTTTTATCTTTTCGTGTGATTGAATATCCGTACAAATAATCCGGCTAACCTTCCTTGTGATACGACCAGGTGTCGAATCTTTCGGTTTTACTCCGGTAAAAATATTTACAACACCACTCCTATGCGGCCGAGGAATCCGCCCGCGTACTGCTCACTTGCGCGCCATCCGCGCCCCGCGTCTTTGTTGTTCGTCCGTCGCGCGTCCTAGCCAACGTCCGTGCCCCAATCTCCTACCATGCCCCCGCGTGCTCCCGACGTTGCCCGCGTGCGCTCCACATAATGGCGCGCATCTTCTTCCGATGCGCGCCATTCGCCCATTAGCCGTGCGCCACCCTTACCCGTGCACGTCGTCGCCGGCGGCCATTCACTAGTCTCGTCGGGGTTGAACACCACTTTCGTATCATGCTGCCGCAGCGCGAGGTGCTGTGGTGCCGCGGCGCGGAGGTCTGGAACGTGCGCTCTATGTCGGGGTCGTGATGCGCTGCGCGGCGCGACACACGCGCGGGGGCCTGGTTAGTAGCTACTCGTGCAACTTCACGTCTCGGGCTCGTTTGGACTCGTCTGTACACGGAATCGAGTTACTGCTTTTATCTGCTTGTTGCCAACTAATCCTTCTACTTTATTACCCTTGCACGACCAATGTATTTTGTTAGAAAACCGGTCCGCCCGATGCTTTCGAACTGCACACCATAAACGAAGAAAAATCAGAAAAACATACGGAAAAAACATAGAAAATCAAAATAGAGCAAAACACGAAATAAACTACAAAATGAATTAAAAACCAACTAAAAGACCTAGGAGAAAAAAAGGAAAAATGACAACGATAAACGTAACAAAAATGGGACAAACACGGGCGGACACCAGGCGGCCGGGGGACGACCCTTGACTCGAGCTCAATTACTGCAGAGGAAGGCGATCGACGCTGGAGTGGAGAGTGACGATGCGGTAGGGTTTGGGGGAAAGGGGATCGCGAGAGCAGAGGAGACAAGGACTTAAATTATGAGCATTTTTAATTTATAATATTAATAAATATTCTTACCCGTGGATCGCACGAGATTCGTACTAGTATTAATGAATTCAATGCTTGCGGGTAAACGGGTAAAAGGTCGGATAATAAGCTTTTCTACGATACGCCCAACCCAACCCAGGGTTCGGGTAACATAATTATAGCCAAACCCCGACCGAAAACCCTACCATCTTGGATTTACTCATCCTAAAAATGCGGGTAACCCGACTCTATAGGTTTGATTGACATACTTATACATGTACAGTCAAGTAAGGTGTGTGAGTGTCATGACACTAAACTACAACTTGTATCGTTTTCAAATTCAATGTGACATCAATTGCTTTTGAGAAGTGAACAAATTATAGAGTAAACTAGTTAAGGGTTCTAACGGAGATGAACAATAATTTTCAATTTGTAACTTTACTTTTGAACCCAACGGATAAAAAGTGGGATCCATATTCAACAGCTTCTTGTTCTCATTGGCCGAAAGAATTATAAGGTGTGATAAAATTATCAAAGTAATAGACTAATAGTAGGAATTTAAGAGCACCCACTAACAAGGAACCTATGCAAAGTAGTATTCTTTTCTTATCTTCTTTTTCTCCGAGAACGGGTGGCCCAAAATAACCTTTATTCTATGTCCATTATGTTTATGTATAGTTACTTCTCGTTTAAGAATAACTAGTACAACACCCGTATATTACATGAGTACTTATTAAAAAATTATTTTTAAATTTTAAATTAATATTTGTTACTTGTGCGACTTACATGTATTATATTATAGTGTTTTATAACTTATATCATATTACTACTTAATTTATAAATATTGTAATTGATAAAAAAAAATATTTTTTAAATTAATATTAAAAACAATTTTATTATTGTTATAAAGATAAATATAATTTATTCTTTTATACATAAAATATGGAAATTGAATATAATCAAGAGATGATTAATTTGATATATTATATGTGTAAAACTGATAAAAAAAAGTTTTTAACTTTTAAAATATATTTACTATTCAACGGTTATAATAAGAAATTTATTAAAATGCAATTAATAAATGTAACAAGACCATAAATAATCAACTTATTTATGGATAATCTGAACCTAATTATTTATGATTTGGAAGTAAATTAAAATCTCCAAAGCCTAATAACGAAGCATGTAATTTTGTCACATACTACAAGAAAAACTGCATTTGGCGACGCTTATTTTTTTGTTTACTGACGCTTATTTTTTTCTGACATCAAATTTAGCAACACAACTCGCCAATAAGCGTCATTAATAAGCGTCGCCAAATGCAGTTTTTTTTATAGTAATAGGATCCCGAAGCATGTGAACTTAATATTTAGGCTCAGTACATTCTGAATTAATATATAGGGAGGATTAAATGTCTCGTATGATTTATTTTGTAAAATTTAATAAAATGAAAAAGGAGCATAAGAAGACCTTTGAGGGAAATTATTACTTAAAAGGTGTAACTCTAAAACGAGTTGTTTAATTAAACGAGTTATTTATGATCTCGGTTTGCTTGACTCATTTGATAAACAAACCGAGCTCCAGTTCATTTAAAACTCGTTTAATTAACGAGTTGAACTCGGTTCGACACGATAAGGCTCGAAAAGATTATTTTTATGTAATTTTCTATAGTTCATCTCGTTAATATTGAAAAACGAGTCGAGTTCGACGAGCTCAATTATGAGGTCGCTAAGTTAATGATCTTAAACGAGCTCGGCTCCTTAAGGGTTCGAGCTCGAGCTTAGCTAATGTTTATCCCATTTTTGTGTCTTTGGTTTGTGTTTATTTTTTTTTTCCCCATTTGTAGGTCTTTCGTTGCTTATTTGGTCCATTTTGTTGATTTTGTGTTTTTCTCATTAGTTTCTATTTGTGCGTCTTTTTGCCGTGTTTTGCTTCGTGATTTTTTTCGTGTTTATGTTTTCAGGAGGTAGGTTGTGCCGGTCGATGTTGGGACTGCTTGAGCCGAGACCGTGATATTGAAAATATTTGTTGTCGAGCCTAGAAGACAACGAAGAAGACTGAAGGAAGGACTGAAAAACTGATCCAGAATTTTTCGCGACTCGCGACAATATCGTGACCCGCCAGATTTTCAGAGGCTGAAGGTTCAGTTCGCATGCTCGAGTCGCGACTCGCGACATGAAAATAAAAATAATTTTATTTTTCAAATCAATTTAAAATATGAATTATTTTATAAAAACAAAAAAAATAAATTAATTCATTAGTACACAATAAATAATCATTTTAATGTGATTTTTCCATTGGATAAAATATGAAAATAAATTATTACATAAAATAAGTTCTAAGGCATATTATAAAATATTATTTTCCGATATAGTTATATCATATACAGAATTTAATGTTCTTATATTATTTAAAATGTTATATATAAAAGAACATCATGATTCAAAATAATAAAATAATTTTATATTTCATAAAATTAGAAAATAATACATTTATGCATAAATAAAAATTCTAAATAATTAAATAAGATGAAGTTAAAATACTTGAAAAAATAATAAACAAGAGACATTGGCGTTATATATATAAGATAATTACACTACAATAAAACTTGTTTTATTTTTTTAGAAAAAAAATCATTTATCAAGGTTATCGAGTTTAAATAATATTATTATATATAATATTAAAAATATGATTATAAAGTATCATTTTTAACAAATAAAATGTAAAAATATAGGTGCCAATTTTAAAATAATTATCACTTTGATATTTATTATTATTGTATATTCATTATACATAATTTTATAATAAAATATATAAATTATATTAATTATTGTATTGACCAAACTGTAATATATTTAATCACTCTTGTACTACACAAAATATGGTACTTATAACTTATATACAATAATATTCCCTACCAACGGTGGACACATGTTAATATGCACACCGCTTATGTGACATGCACACATTCGTTTTTTTTTTTTAATATATTAACATTACTATTGTGTGCATGCCACATATTCGATGACATATTAACATGTGCCCACCATGAATAAAAGAGAATTACTGAACTTATATATAGGTAGAAATCCATGTATGTGGTTGTGACAAATAATTTTGCATAAAATGGAATGAACATCCTATGCACCCACTAACCTTAATCCATTCTCTCAGATCAAAAATGTTATAGGTACATAATATTGTAAATAGAAGTGTATATAACATTCACATTAAGTGGATCCTACCAAAAATAAAAAAATCTAAATGAACTGCACTACACGTGAGTGTTATGTATACGTCTGTATACATTTATGATGTATTTGTAACATTTTTCAACTATAATATAGTTAAAAAATGCACACCACCAAAGAGTGTCCATCTATACATCTATATTCTATAACCACCCACAAATCCAGCTCCATTTTCCCCCAATTCCCAAAGGCCATATCCTACTAAGATGACTTTCATTTTCCTCCTCCTCATTTTCTCTCTCCCTTCCCACTCCTCCGCCCGCTCCACCACCCTCTCCCTCTCCCCCACCGCCCTCCCTCCGCCGCTCCAAACCGACCTATGGCAGAAGCTCCGCCACCTCTCCGCCGCCTCCTCAGCTAGAGCCCACAACCTCAAACACCCCCAATCCAACCCCACTACCACCACCACCACCACCACCACCGCCGCCAGCGCCCCCCTCTTCCCCCGCGGCTACGGCGGCTACTCCATCTCCCTCGGTGTCGGAACCCCGCCGCAGAACCTGTCCTTCCTCATGGACACCGGCAGCAGCCTCCTCTGGTTCCCCTGCACCCAGCGCTACTCCTGCAGCTCCTGCAGTTTCCCGGGATCCGACCCGGCCTCCCTGCCCGTTTTCATACCCAGATCCTCCTCCACCTCCAGAATCGTCGGCTGCCGGAACCCGAGTTGCAAATGGATCTTCCCCGACGTCCAGTGCCGCGAATGCGCCCAAAACGCCACCACGTGCAGCGAATTATGCCCTCCGTACATTATCCAGTACGGATCCGGATCCACAACCGGGTTGCTCCTTTCCGATTCTTTAAACCTCCCTGGCCGAACCGTGGAGAATTTCACCGCTGGGTGCTCCGTTTTCTCGACCCGACAGCCCGAGGGCATTGCTGGATTCGGGCGCGGCCCACAATCCCTCCCCTCCCAATTAGGCCTCACCCGATTCTCCTACTGCCTCGTCTCCCACAGATTCGACGACTCGCCGGCGAGCAGCGATTTGGTGCTCACCGCAGCCACAAGCCGCTCGAAAACCGCCGGCGCCGAGTACACCCCTTTCCGGCAAAACACATCGACCGGAAACCCCGCGTTCGGAGACTATTACTACATCACACTTCGGAAAATCACAGTCGGAGGAGTCAACGTGAAGGCGCCGTACGAGTTCCTGGCGGCCGATGCCTCCGGGAAAGGCGGGACGATTGTGGACTCCGGCACGACATTCACGTACATGGACAAGGGGGTTTTCGAGCCGTTGGAGGAGGAGTTTGTGAGGCAAGTGGGGAGGAATTACAGCCGGACCGTGGAGGTCGAGAAACGGGCCGGGCTCAGGCCGTGTTTCAATGTGTCAGGTGAAGAAACGATTACTCTACCGCAGTTAACTTTCCATTTTAAGGGCGGTGCGGAGATGGTTTTGCCGCTTGCAGATTATTTCTCGTTCTCGGAGGAATCGGTCGTGTGCATGACGATTGTGACGAGCGATGGGGCGCTTGGAGGAGGAGTCGGGCCGGGCCCTTCGATTATTTTGGGTAACTATCAGCAGCAGAATTTTTACGTGGAGTATGATTTGGAAAATGATCGGTTTGGGTTCAAGAGGCAGTTGTGCAGATGAGAGTTGAGAATTCAGTTCAACAAAAATTGAAATTTGGGACTATTTTGCTATGTGATTTTATTTTTATGTTACTAGGAATAATATTGGGTTTACAATTCTTGAAAAAATAAGTGATATGGTGACGAAGGCTCAGATTGAGAAAATTACGCGTTTTCACGCACTAATAATGACTTTGCTCTGTTTTGTTCACTGTTCTAAAAATCGGCCTAGGCGCCCGCCTAGGCGGCGCCTAGGCGCTAGGCGGTACCCGGGCGCCTCCGATTTGAACAAATCGGTAGAAAATATCGGCCAGGCGGCGCCTAGACGGGCCTAGGCGCTCCTAGGCGCCCTTGGCGGGCTCGGCGGCCAGGCGGTTAGGCGGCGCCTAGGCGGGCATAGGCGGACCTAGGCGCTCTTAGGCGGGCTCGACGGCAATTTTTCAGTTTTTTTTTATTTTTTTTTATTTTTTTTAAGTATTAATTACATTATTTGTTCTCATATTTTCTTTAAAATATATTAATTTGATTATTGGGACTTAAGTGTGTCGATATATTATAAGTTGAGATAATTATATTTTGTAGGTAGTTAAAATAAATAAAAATAAAGTATTTAATATTGATTTCTAGGTCCCAACTAGTCGCCGCCTAGGCACCGCCTAGTCGCTCTAGGCGCTAGGCGCTGGTCGAGCGTCTAGCGGGCGCCTAGCGACTTTTAGAACATTGGTTTTGTTCCTTTTATTTTATATGTTTACGAGAAAAATGCTACACTGCGCTCGTTACGGAACCATTCTGTCGGGATTTGTAATCGTTAGATTATCGTTTAACCGTCGTAGATAGTTGATCTAACGGTTACATATCCCGACAGAATGGTTCCGTAACAGCACCGTACAAAAATATAAATCTTATATATTTTGTCCTCGCGAGAATAGTTGATGTCACAATCTCATGTTGCTTTTGTAGTGGTGAAGATTGAGGTGGATTTACTATTGAAGGCATTGTTATGCAAAACATTTGGGAATGTTTGCTTTATATTGCTTTACCATGCATGTGTTTATGTGTGTGCAATCTGACGGTTTGTAGGCAACAGTCAGAATCTTTTCTTTCATCACATCTTTTTTCCTATAAATATAGTTTTATTCTAATCTTCCATTGATTTTTTTGCAGGAACATCTTTTTCCTATGGCTATAAAAAAAAATTAAAATAAAATAAAATAAATAAATAAATAAATAAATAAATAAATAAAAGTGTTATGGTATTTAAGGCAAAACTTGTAGGACGAAACTACACTTCTTTTCATCTTGGCAATGATATATATACCAAAAACCTCTATGGCTATGCAATGTTGTCTCGTGATTTTGTATATAAGAGTACTATTTTTAAAACAAAATTAGTGTACTAAAAAATTTTGGGGAAATGCTAAAGTTTCGTTACAGAACCATTGAGTCGGAGTTTTTAAGTTAGAAATAGTTGATCTAACGATTACGAATTACGACGAAATGGTTCCGTAAAGAGATTGTAACATGTTTCTAAATTTTGAATTAGCATCGGTATTTTGAAAGTGTTTCCAGCTTATCATGGAAATATCCAACCTGTAAGATATGTTTCCAGTTGTGAGTATTTTATTCATTTTCAAGTCCCTCTAATTGAATATTACTCAATGACCAATAGTCATGTTAAGCATGTTAGATGCACATGTTATTTAATAGGCGCACATTATTAACTGGCTAATGCGTACGTTTAAGTCATCTCAAATAACAATTAAGACTTCAAGGCTAGTGTTAGTTACAGTTGTTCACTGTCCGGTTTTAACCGAAAAATCGTTAATTTTGATCGCGGATCGGTTAAATAGTCGGTTAAAAAAATTTTAAAAAATTGGTGGTTAATTTTCTTAAAAAATCGGAATAACCAGTTTGGTTAACGGATTACATGCGGCAAATTGGCGGTTTAACCGGACCATATCAGTGAATATTAAAAAAACTATAACAAATTTATATATATACATTCAATTTGCATAATTCAATCTTCATCATTTTGTTATTTTTTTGTTTATGGGTCAGGATGTGTATTTTTATGCTTATGGGACGAATTGTGTATTTCTTATTTTATTATTATTGTTTTCATAATTTTTAGGCCCAAAATTGATAAATAAAATTAAGCTCAAAATGAAAATAAAAATAAAAATTAAAGGCTCAAAACAAGGATTTTAGATTTAACTGGTTAACCGTCAAACCAGACCTCCAATGCAGTTCGGATTGTGGCCGGTTAAAAAATAAAACTGGTCCGGTTATGGACAAGAAAAAAAAAATAACCGTTAGGTTAGATTTGGTCATGGTTTGGGCTAAAACCGGATCAATCCGGACCGTGAACATTCCTACTATTAGCCAAACATAACCGTTAGACATTCATATTTTATTATGAGTGTATTTTTGTTAGAAATGTATGACAAGATCCTCTAATGACTGACATCAATTTATAACTAGCTATTATTTAGCATTGTTGGATACTCATGATGTTATTTAATAGATGTAATCAACTCGCTAATGCGTAAGGGTGTATCGAACAACAATTTATGTTAAGATTTATAACGATATCAAATATGTGCTACTAGTTATAGTGAGGGATGATCTGTGATCGGCATGGGCCGATACAATTTATGGATTGGCAAATCTCTAGAACCGTACCAATATTCGGAGATTACTAAAATTGAATCTTCGGAACTGTACTAAAAATTTGGTTTAGTTCGGTTCGCAGATTTTTTTCGGTTCGGATATTCTGAGATTTTTAAGTATTTTTTGGTCCGGTTCAGTTCGAATATTCATATTTCGCTCTAAATCAAGAGTGCAAAATGAGAGTATAGTAATGAATGTAGAGAGAGTGTTTTTTGGATATCTTAGTTCCTTTTATAGGAGAAGTGTACCTTATAACTAAAGTTGGGTTTGACAAATACGATTATGACGCGTGTGCTAGCCCATGTGTAATCTTATTCTCCAATATATTTCTTTTTATTCATAAAAATTGGTATAGTATAATATCCCATATCACATACTATGTTAGTTATAAAATAGAATAAGACTATGTATTGACAATTTTATGTAATCTTTATTTTTTTTTTAAAAAAAAAATATTTCTTTAACCTTTTATTTCATTTTAAATATTTTTTTAAACATGAAAAATTCAATTGTATATCAAGTATTAATAAGCATGAAATTAAGTGGAGCTTAATTGTTATTACTATATTTTATTTGCATTTTAAAAATTCTCAAATTATATACGATATCAAAGTTGACATAAAATATATTAATAACACACACCTATTTTTATAAATTCAGTTCTTAATTTCGATTTGGTATGGTATGGGGCGGTTCGGTTCGATTATCAGTACAGATATTTGTGAAATCTCCAGAACAGTACCAATTATTTTTTCGGTTCGATTCAGAGAAAGTCAAACAATCAATGATTATTTTTCGGTTCGTAGTGATTTCTGTTCGATTTTTCAAACGGTTCTAAATTTTCCGACTCTCATTCTCAACCCTAGTTATACTCCAGTAAATTATTCCAATCGTTCATGCCCCTTAATTGTACTTTGTTTGGTTATAATTTGGTCACAGTCTATTTATTTTAGTCTAGGGCGTTCAACTTGTGGCCTAGGCTTTTAGTTGAACTTTTTCTTGAACTATATAATTTCATTGTACTATACCTTAATTAAGTGTCCATTATATTATTAAAACTTAAACATGCAAGTCTTTATTTTTATTTTTACTATTTTTTTTTAACGAAACGATAGAAAATATGCAAGTCTTCAAGCCAATTGTAATACTTACTACTGTAAGGAAAAAATAACAAAAATAATTTTTTTTTTCTTTTATAAAAGCACATATATTATGCGAAATATTCCTTAATGCTGTTTTCTTCTTTTATAAAAAATATACATATATTATACGAAATATTCCCAAATACATTGTTTTAATTCAATATTGAATGAGTGAAATCGGATATTCGGAAACCGGATTAGTCGGTTCCCCTGTGAATTCGGAAATCGGAAGGTCCCTGTACCAAAAAAAAAATAATATTGAATGAGTGATATGTATCAAAATGATGTATTATTTATGTGTTTTATTGATTCAATATAATGAAAACCTAAACAAAAAAGTATTTACATGATATCTAAATTCTTGTTCACTAATAGTGGCAACTTTTTTACATATAAAATGCATATTAGATTTTTGTTTACAGTTTTCATCGTACGTACTTATATATCATATACCACTACAAAAAAGACTGGTATATTTCGACGAGAAATCTTACGGTAATATATTTCAATAGAAATTTCAACGGATATTTCAATGGTATAATTTCTGTTTGAATGATTCCAACGGTAATACCAACGAAAATATGGAATTAGTTTTCCATTAAAATTTAATATGAAATTCGATGATTCCAACGACTATTTTTTCAATAGATTTTTACAGTAGGAATTTTGTTTGAGTATGCAATTTTTGTTGGAATTTTTATTTCCAACCCCATTGGAAAATCTACCATTGAAATTGTCGAAATTCAATGAAAATTCCAATGAAAAAATTATAACAATGGAATATTTTTGACGGAATTTCCGTTGGAATCTATTAAAATATATTTTTAGTAAAAATTTACGATGGAATTTTATTTATTTATTTTATTTATTTATTTTTTTTTTTTTTTTTTTTTTTTTTTTTTTTTTTTTTTTTT